TTTCCTTCCACTCCCCCCTTATGCCTCTCAAGTGTCTCTTCGACTCTTGATTGTCTTTGCACAATATCAAAAAGGATTTTTTATATCAGTCAATTCAGACATCAAAATGTCGAATTTACTTTGTTTTCCCTCACCGTCATCCCCCTGACCGTCATCCATCTCTATAATCATCTCTTCTTCCTTCTCCTCTGCCTCCACCGCCTCCTCTACCTCCTTGCCAATAACCTTCAAAATTAAATTACAATATTAAAATATTAATTATATTCTTAATATTATTTAATTACATTTATTACCCTTTCTTACTTCCTCGGTCTATTCGACTTCAACTTTGCTATCACTCTAACCACCTCTTCATTCTCTCATGCACGGATGCGTGCCACTCCGGTTCTTTCATAAGCAGGCAAACTATCACAGTCCGACCAAAAATCGAATAGTGCAACCTGTATTTATAAAATTTATCATTTATATAATAACTATACTATCATTTTATATAAAAAATAAAAACTTTCTTCAACTTAGTTACCTCTAAGATTGTTATGCACCCTTTGAGGTATCTCTGGCTGCCCTTTTGAAAGGTGATTATTGATTCTATCAATCTTAAATGGACATATTCAGCCCAATTGAATTCACCCTTCAAGCTTTCATTGCAAATGAGTTTTATAATGTCCTTGTTCGTTGACGTATCACCCGTTGGACAAAGAAAGATCCTGACAAGGTACAATAGAACTCAGGCCTTCAGGTCATCCCCCGTAAGATCCACTTTTGATATCATCTTCAACTTCAACGTATGTCATCTTCTGCTTCAAACCATATTTGGAGGCAAGTGCTTTCTTACAGACTTATACAACACTTTTGCCTTCTTTTCGTACCCCCAAGACGGTTGCAGCACATGGGACCCCCAGAGGAAATGAATAATCACCATATTTACCAATACATTATTGTACATCAAATTGCTCCATCAAGGATCGACATAATTCCCTCCGAATAGGTCGATCCCTTACTCTTACCAACGATCCAAACCCTATTTCTACCAGCACATTCAACTGATTTTTCTCCTTAAGGTGTTCAATTAATGAATTCACCCTTTTTATACTGCACCTTGTAGACACTTCCTACATTTTTTAACAATATATAATGTTATTGTTCTTATATATTTTGTATCAATGCATTTACAAGTTTAACGAATACCTTCTTTTCATTGCTTTCCTCCATTCTTTGTATTCTTCACTATCCTTCTTTGACTGTGAGATAAAATGTTCCTTCTCAGCATCACTCATCGAATTCCATTTCTCCAACACATCATCTCTCACCTAAAATTAAACATAAACGTTTGTTAATCATTAACGCTAAATAATATTCAATGTCAAATTCAATTTACATACCGAACCGATGTGTTTGTCACGTTCCTTCATCTTTTGGCAATCGATCATACTGTCAACATATAAAATTTGTAATCAATTTAAGGTTCTTAAATACTTTAATCCAATTACCATTTCAACAATAATAACAAAAATATATTGATACTTACTAGAAATACATATATCCACCTTTTGGTTGCTTTCGACCCTCAGCCTCAATTTCAAAGTCATCTTCGCCACCAACAATTCCAAAATCCTTTGACTTCATTTTTCCTTCATATATCAGTTTACGCAAATCAAATCAAATCACTGGTTACATACACTTTATTCAATATACAAATATCGATAACTACTCTTGTTGTAAAACAGTTTCCTTTAAAAGAATTTGAATGGCTACTACAATAAGTGTCGGCACATTTATGCAACCTACAATATCATTTTCTACCTATAATATTATAAACAAGTATCCATATTTATTTTCTACATATAATATTATAATCGGTCTCAAATCCTTCTTGGCTTCGATTCTTAATCCCTAAATCAACCCCAAAAACCTTAATCCCTATTTCCTTCGAACGAACGGGAACACTCAATACTCTAAGTATCGATACATTTATACAACATATAATATCATTTTCTACCTATAATATTTAATAAAAGTATCGATATTTATATTTTACCTAGAATATCACTTTCTACCTGTAATCGGTCTCAAATACTTCTTTACTTAGAAAACCCCAAACAACACATAAAAACCCTATTTTTTATTACTGTAATAATAAAAAACTCGGGTTTCGAGAATGTATTTTTTCGATTTGACTGCAGCAACAAACGAACAAACTTCGCTTTAGAAATGCCTTCTGAAATGCAGCAACAATTACGCTTCGATTTCAAAAACTCGTCCGTCCGTGTTCTGAAATGCCCTTTATATTTTCACCGGATATGTTATTTATATTTAATCGATACAATAACCCAAGTGTCGATACATTTTTATAAAATATCAACACTTTAAATGCGCTATTACTGCTTCTCTTTTAAATTCCAAAAGTGTCGATACTTATAGTAAAGTATCGACACTTTTAACATATTCGATGGCGCTTTACCGGTTTTGTCATTTTGAGACCTTTTTTATCATATTTTTACATGTTATATTGTTATGGATCGATACATTTTTATATAAAGTATCGATACTTTATAGGCGCTATTACTGCTTGTCTTTTAAATTCCAAAAGTATCGATACTTGTAATAAAGTATCGACACTTTCAACATATCCGGTAGCTCTTTACCGGTTTTGTCATTTTGATATCGATTTTATCATATTTTATCTGTTATATTGTTATGGATCGATACATTTTTATAAAGGATCGACACTTTATAAACGCTATTACTGCTTGTATTTTAAATTCCAAAAGTGCCGATACTTATAATAAAGTATCAACACTTTCAACATATCCGGTAGCGCTTTACCGGTTTTGTCATTTATAAACCGGTTTTATGATATTTTAACCTACTATATTGTTATGGATCGATACATTTTTATAAAGTATCGACACTTTATAGGCGCTGTTACTGCTTCTCATTTAAATTCCAAAAGTGTCGATGCTTATATTAATGTATCGACACTTTCAACATATCCGGTAGCGCTTTACCGGTTTGGTCATTTTGAGACCGGTTTTGTTATTTTTTTACCTGTTATATTGTTATGGATCGATACATATTTTATTTGTATCGACACAAACCGACAAGCTAGGTTTGTCGGTTGCCAAATTTTTTAATATTTCTTCATGATTTCTAACTAGAACATTATTATTACCTAACATTTCCGATAGCGCTAAACCAATTTTTTTAAATATCTTTTAATGTATCCCGTCATGCCGTATATTAATTCGCCTTTCCTGAGATAACGTCTGCATTTGCCTTCTTTTTCATACTATTAAAAGATAAAATTTTACACACTAGTCAAAAGTATATTTTTTAAGTAATTGTATTTTAAAAATTATAATTTGCGGATAAAAAGTAAGTATTTTTATATCGAAAAATGTGAGTAATTAGTTAGATTTTTAAAATGTGATATTAAATAAATTTAAATATAGGCTGAAGTTAGGAAATATAAATATGAACGCAAAAGGCTATTATTTGTATGTGTACCTTTGTATAAAATTTGTTACGTAATTGTCTACCTGTATGTCGGTCAAAATATATAGCCAAAGTTTGTCCATTTTCATTATTTAGCTTTTTATTATTAGTAGCAAGAGTGTCATATTACATTATCACCACCAATATAATTTATGTATTGATTCATCCATGCTGGTTTTCATATTCATTCACTCTAGTTTTTCATACATAATATTTGGTTAATCGACTATCAAATAATATATTTTTTATATTTTAAATGAATATATATATATATATATATATATAATTCAAGATATTGATTCTTTCAATAAATTTAACTTGTTTATATATGTTTAATGATAAATTAATTTAAAAATATTTTACGATAAAATAGATGGATTCAAATAATTTGAAGTTCTTACTAGATGAGCTTGAGCTTAAATGTTATTAAATTATTTTTTTTTAAATTTTGATTATTGATATTTTAAAAATACAATCATCACTAACATTATATTTTTATTTTATCAAATATAAAAGATATTATTAATGATGATTTTATATAAAAAAAGGAAAATAATATAAATTAATGGTGAATAGATAACATATAATTGGTTTTTTTTAGAAGATGATTTAGCATATTGTTGGTCAAAATTGAAGTATAATGAAATATTGGTTCAAGTGAGAGAGGAAGATGAATGGTTGGAATGAGATATAATATGTGGCGTGGACATGACAACAGGAGCTAAATGCTAAAATAAAGATGCCAATTCAGGATTAGGTACCTCGACATGTGATACTCCATCCACAAATATTTAAATTATATTATGAAAGAGACCATCCATCCATCCATTAGACATTAAATTCTTTAAGTAAGTTTAGAAGTTCTAGTCTTGATATTTACAAGTGAAATAAACTGGATTGGGATGGTCGTCCTCGTCTCTACAATACATAATCTGGATTAGTCTATCAATATATCAGATATCAACGATTAATTAAAAAAATAGAACATCCATCCAACGATGGGTAATTCTGAGCATTGGGCTGAGGTTCTTCTACTTGATGATTTGGACAGAACTATTAGACCTCACTGCCTCCAATAGATTTGATATTTTTAATATTTAATTCATTTGTGATGTTTATATATTTACAAATTAATTTATTATGTAAATAGTAAAATACCGGCATATTCAATGGGTAATATATCCGAATTCCAAAGTGAACGGATCTCTGCTCCCATATCATCCATCCATCCATCCATTCATTCATTCGTTCATTCGTTCCTCCCTAATTGAAACCTATAACTCTAAAGAGAAAACACAAAACTCCACTCATACCAAGACACAGCAGATTCACTGAGAGTTGGAGACAACGATGATAGTGAGCAACCATGTCCATGTATGTGGTGTCGGGCAATCAATTTCAATTCCTCAGTTAAAACCCTTTTCTTGTATCGATTTCCCGCCCAAGAAATCATTCAATTTGAGCTTTGTTTTGGGTTGGAATTGGAGTCTTCTGCTGCTCAGAACATGTCATTCTTGTGGCACCAATCCAATAACTCGTCTGACGTTGCTGCTACAACAACCAACAATCAGACCATCACTTATTCTGAATGGGATTGGAATCGATGGAGCCGACATTTCTCTGAGATTGAACAGGCTGAGAGCTATGTTTCTGTTCTCAAGGTAACTCCTTTTGGCTTCTTTCACCCTACCCCCTTTTCCTATTTGTGTTTTTTAATTCATTGAATATTCATAGTTACCAGGAAATTCAAGTTTCCATCTTTATCCACCCATTTCATGTTTCTCAATGCGCTCGATTTCATGTTTCTTGTTCAATTTGTATCCCCATGTACGTTTTACCACACTAACTACTATTAATAATCACAAAATTAGAATTGATAGATTGCCCCAGAAATAATAACTTGAAGGAAGACAGAGCTATATGCTGCTTGTGCACTTTTCTCATTTTTTGTTTATCTTTTTTCACATATGGAAGAAGAGGGAGGGGGATTTGAACCCTTCTCTCTAGCCAAGGTGTATGAAGGCACTTTTCTCCATCTATTTTTTTTACCTTCAAAATTTTATCATTACTGATTATGAAAGCATGTCAAGAATTTGAAATTATCTGCTAATGACATTGAACTGCGGTAAGTGGGCAATTCTTGTGAGTATAGTGCAGTAATATATATAATATATTGAATATAGGTAATCTAATTTACATATTTTTTGGATAATTCATTTTTATTACCGAAAGAGCAGAAAACTGTTACAAAATAATCAGAGTTCTGATTACATTGATTTCCCTACTTACAAAAATAATCGGCAATCAAACTATACCCCAATAATTACAAAGAGTAATATTAACACTATCTAATCTATTTATTCCTACCCTTTAAATGTAAACCAACAATTTCCTTTATGGCATGGAGCATTTCATCAACATTTCTAGATCGACCTTGGAATAATCTTTTGTTTCTTTCTTTTCATAGGATGTAAATTAAAGCATTCGAAGCAATCTTCATAATTGAAGTGAGCAAAGATTTACATTTCCATGAAGCACAAGCCCAATCAAAAAGAGCATCCCATGACAAATGTCTAAACCTTAAGACTTTAAAAGAGAAAACTGCTGCCCATAAAGAATTATCTATAGGACACTCAAGAACAAGTGGTTCCTTGTTTCCAGAACAGCTCCACAAAAACGCATTGGCATTCGGTAATAAGCCCCATGCGATGCAACCTTTCCTTAGTAGGTAGTCTATCGAGTAAAGCCATCCACACTATCAAATTATGCTTTGGGATGTGGAGAGGAAACCAAAGCAGCTTTTGCCATGGTACTTTGGTATTCTTCACCCTAATCTCATTCCAGATTCCACTCACCTTCTTAGCTCCAGAAGACAGAACATATAAAGCCTCAGGTCTCATCTTTAGGATTTGCCTTAAGATCCAGCTTATATTAGGTCTAATCTCAACATTCTAGAAATCATTGACAATGAACACAACTTTTAAGTCAAGCCACCCAAAAGATCATTCTCCTGCAAGGATATTTTTTATAGAAGCATCATACATGCTTTGTTCCAAGTCATCATATCCTTAAGACCAAGCCCTCCTTCAGATTTAGGGAGACAGATTTTTGCTAGCTCACTCGTGCTCCAGAAGTTGCTTGTCAGCTCCTTTCCAGAAGAAACGTGAACAAAGATGTTCAATCTTTTTAATAATAGAAAAGGGGCAGATTAACTGTCTGCACCAATAATTAGCAATACTAAACAACAAAGATCTAACTAACTCCAATATGCCTGCATAGCTCAGAGCCCTTCCAGACCATTGGTGCAACCTTGCTTTAATATTATCAATGAGAGCAACGCAGTCTTTTTCAAAAATTTCCTGTGACCAGTGGAATTCCTAAGTATCTCACTGGAAGACTGCCAAGCTTAAAACCAGTGATCAACTTGATTTCCTCAAGAGCAGAAGAGGAAATACACCAGTAAAGAATTCACATTTTGAAGCATTGAGCTTAAGACCAGACATTTCATAAATAAATCAAGAAAACTAGTAACACCAATTACAGAATCAACAGAGCCTTTGCAAAAGATTAGGAGGTCATCAACAAAAGACAGATGAGTAAGGCCAATTCTTTTTCATTTTGGATGGTATCCAAACATACCTCTAGCAGTAGCCAAGTTCAGGAGTCTTGAGAGGACATTCATTGAAAGAACAAATAGAAAAAAAGAGAGGGGGTCTCCTTGCCTAACTCCTCTTGCACCTTTGAAGTAGTCAATCAAGGTCCCATTGAAGGAAATAGAGTATCTTGTTGTTGAAAAACATATTTCAATCCAAGTAATAAAAGTACTAAGAAGTCATATAGCCTTCAAAAGAGCATAAATAAATCCCCAGTTAAGAGAGTCAAAGGCTTTATGGAGGTTAATTTTCAGAGCATCTAGGAGAGATAGTCTTTTAGTATAGCCTCTAAACCAATTCTTGTGCCAGAAGAGTATATCAACAATACTTTGCCTTTAACAAAGCAGTTTGATTAAGGGTGATAAAATCAGGATAAGTCTTGTTAATCTATTAACCAGAATCTTTGATATAGCTTTGTAAACCACATAACAACAGGAAATAGGCCTAAAGTCCTTAACCTTACTTCGATTAGGAATCTTTGGAACCAAAGCAATTGCAGTAGCATTAAAAAGGAAGCAAGAAAGACTCATGAAAGAATTGTTTTATGGCAGCAATAGCATCATCACCAATGACAGACCAAGATTTTTTGAAGAAGAAAGGAGTAAACCCATTAGAGCCAAGATGTAATTAAATTGCATTAGTTTTGTTATATATCTTTATATATCACAGGAACAAATCAGGAATATGTCCTTTCTTTTTCTAATGTAAGCCAAAGCATATCCTACATTTCCAGTTACATAGTTATGTATCTTCTGTTTAACCTTGACTCTCATTCTAGTTTAAGGAAAATTCAGACCTATGTTTTTCCAGAAGTTCAAGGACCGTCCCATTTAAAATTCCAGTTGCCTGAGAGATTCTCCAGAAGGTGCAGAAAAATCAGTTTATAATCTTATGACGGGTGCTGGACTTTTCCTCCAGCAGAGACCTCCGGTCCAAGCTCCTCCGCCCTCTGCAGCTGCGCCTTCTCTGACATCTCACTCTTCTCATCATGACGAAGTTCGTACGATCTTCATTATGTTTATGCATGAAGATGTCAAAGAGAGAGAGTTGCAGAATCTACTGAGATGGCTTCCAGGTTTTGAAGCTTCGCAAGTGAGCTACAAGGGAGAAAAGCCTAAGGGTTTCGCTCTATTCTCAAATGCAGAATTTGCAGTTGCTGCCAAGGATGCCTTTCAGAAAATGGTTTTTGATGCTAAGTTGAAGTCTTTTCTGCATATTGAAAATGGCTAGGAAAATCTTGTTGTTAAAAGAGGAATAGTTGCAGCTTTTGATGGTTTAGACAAGTATGTATGTGATCTCCAGTACTGCCAATGCCAAATTCAGCTTCTATACATCTCCTAGTATTCATGTGTCTGGTAAAACTAGGTGTTGTGATGGAAAAATCTATAGTAGATGGTGTCCTCGAGGGAACTAAGGAGTCCATCACAAAGGGGTAGTAATGACAGTATGGATGCTACACGTTATTTGTTGAAAATTTACCAGAAAAATCCATTGGAAGAGGTTTTGGATCTTTATTTTGCTCCCACGGTCGGGTACTTGATGCTTTTATTCCAAAAAAAAGAAATTCAAAAGGAGTTCGCTTGGTTTCATTCGCTTCGCTTCAATCGAAGAAGCAAGGAGAGCGACCTCAAAAATAAATGGCTCTTATATCAACGGTAGCAAAATTGGTGTTTTTTTTTGCTAAATTCAAACCTCGTCATTCCTATTAGAGAAAGTCTTCGACAGGTGTTCTCCGCAAGTTCGGGATGGAAGATGATTCGAGTAAGAATCATTATAAAGTTAAAGGCGTTATAGATGAAGAAAAACTTCAGGTGTTGAGTAATTGTCTAGTGGGGTGTTGTAAAGACTTTATCAAAATTGGTCATCTCGCTAGACAAATGCATGCGAAGGGCCTTACTAGCTTCTCCTTAATGAGAGCTACTAGAAATGAGGTATTAATGATTTTAGAAGACTCTGCTTCATTGAGAAGTGTGAAGAATGATAAATCAGAGACTCTCGCAGAGTGGTTCTCCATAGTCAGAGAGTTTGGTATGGAGTGTCGCCGAGTATGGTTAGTTTGCGAGGGTGTTCCATTTCACGCATGGAATTGGATACTTTCAAGATATTGCTGATAGTTGGGGTCAGTGCTAGCAATCAATGAAAGCTTTCAGTTACCATCATCCTTGATCGGGCAAAAATTCAAGTCCTTGCAAAGGTTGGTGCGAGAATTGATGCGACGTTGGAATTGAAGGTTGGTGACAACTCCTTCAAGATCATGGTGCATGAGATAGAGCCTTCATTCAAGCCAAACTCTTGGGCTCCTGAAGAAGACGAATCTCATTAGATCTCGTCTCCAATTGTGGTTTGATTTAGTTTATATGGTTGTAGGTGTTGCTTCTCTTTTATATTATGTTCTCTTTCGTTGTTTTAATCCTATTGATGGAGGTGTAATTAGAAATAGTGATTCGACTGTGTCTTTGGATGAGGTTATATGAGGTTAAGGCGTTTGTTGTAATGGTGTATATCACCATAAGAGGATATCTGGTGTTTATTTTGTATTGGGTATTATTATTAATAAACTTTGAGGTATTATTTTCTTCTTTCCAATGTTCGTTAACATACTTCTTAGTATGTGAACGAATACGAAGGGAGTTTTTAATGAGACCTCCAAATTCTATTAAAACAAAGTATTTATCTAATGCTTTGCACATATGATTTGGGCTTCCTTGCTATCTTTTCCATAAACACCACTTCTGAACTGCTTTTGACTAAGTGTGTATTGCATGTTTGATTTCTCTATTTCACCCATGAATCAGCTTTGGTTGTGTTTTTATTAACCAAGCCTGGTTGCAGTAGTGTAAAATTTTGACTTCAATAATTGGGTCTGCCAAGTATGAATTGAATTTGGGTGGTTAAATTTGACTGACACTTTAACTATTCTTAGAGGTGTAATTATTGTATTCCTGTGTAAATTTGGCACGTCATATTTTCATTTTAAAAAAGCTCTAGAGCTTTCTAATATGCAGGTAGTTTTTATTTGCACGTGCAAAAAGAAGTTCTAAGAGTACGAGTTCACCGTCCAAACCTACAGAACTCCATCCACTTCTGAAGTTGAGAATGCATCTGTTATAGAATGTTCAGGGGAATGATGGAGCTAAGGAAAAAAGAAATGATGAGAAGGGAATATATATGAGGGAGCAACTGAGAAGGGATAAAAAGTGTGATAAATTTTCTAAAAAATAAAATTCCTGGATTGAAAGTCAAAGTCATGAATGTTGATGTTTCTGAGTAAGTATCGTTAATGATTATGGAGGAATAGTTACAAGAAGATGATGAGAAACAGCTACCAGTGAGAATTCTGAAGATGAAACTGATGATTTGGAAGAGATTCAACCTGAGGAAGTTTCTATGGGGCAGGGTGGAAATCTTGCAGATGACATAAATGATTTGGATATGAGTTTTTTTATAGGTGGGATTATCCTAATATGAGGGATACTCCTATTAAAGATGAGTATATTCGTCTTCCAGCTGATATAAATGACTTGGAAAAAGATTCTTTTCAGTTACATGTTCCCAAGAGGAGTTTAGATAGTGATACTGGAGAAAGCAAAGCATCCA